GAAGGTACGTCTGTCGTAGTCACGCAGTCTGGTATCGATCGGCACTGGCCGCTAGGGCTTTGGGAGAGTAAAGAAGAATGAGAGAGTACCAAACTGAGTGCTATGTTCCTCCAATACACAAGCTGCTGGCGCCGGCCGATTCCGTTTGCGTCTATAGGACTGGGGCGCTGTTGCATTGTAGCGCGTCGACGCGAATCACTGCAAAGTCTGAACGCTGTGTAGTTCACATATCCATTGATAACGCGTTTGTAAAAGGCAGCAGAAACAGGAGAAGACCTACCGATGGATCCGTTCCTTCCATTTTGTGCTTTCGCATACGTTCGATTTTAGCGTCTTCTTCTTTCTAAACATTCTTCTCGAAATTTACATAACAACTGCACTGTAAAGCTGCGTTAATACTTTGTGACAAGCGAATAGAAAAGGAATTGACCTCTTCGGAGAATACACACCAGGCGAAAGTGAAGGTATCGATCTGGCATTTTAGGAGGATAGGAGAATCGGCAAAGCAACGTTTCGGGAGAGTGCACGCCAAAAAAGTGCATAAGAGTTGATCGGCAGCGGTCGCTAGAGACTCGACGTGCATTTTTTCAAAACGTCAACTTGACGGTTCTGGTTTGCTCCCGTCGCAAAGTATGAACAAAGCTTAAAGGTGGCAAACAAACGAGAATTCACCTTCACAGCGGCTCGCTGTGGACGTAACCGTTCTTGTAGTGCTGGTGTACATATATCACATAGGTCAAGTATCAGAGGAAACTTCACATCCTTCAAAATCTTCGCGTTCACCTGGAAAATTCACGTTACGTTAAAGATATCCCATGATAAAAGGATAGGCGGAGACTCATAACCGCGAAGTCTTTCCCATTGGTGCTATAATCGTACGATATGGTAAAAAGGAGGGGCGTCCCAGTGAGGATGGCATCACAGTTATGAGTCTCTGCTCATCTGATCATTGCGGAATGTGTCTTTAGGCTGCTGTACCGTCAACAACTTCTCGTCTTAGTTTTAGGGAGGCAACAACTTCTCGTCTTAGTTTTAGGGAGGAGTATTAAAGTAAGGACCCACTAAAAGCTAAATATATCCTACCTACCGATAAAATCTCTACCATTCACAGAGATTTTAAAAATGGATTACTTTTATTGGGAGAGGGGATAGTCCTTAGCCTCTGGTTTACAATATTTTCCTCGCGCCTCAATGTACTGAACCGGCCTGGTATACAAAACATAGAAATGGCGCAGAAATTTAGTCCGTTTATCTTCATAGCCTTGCAAGAGTTACAGGTCTCTGCAAAATGGGCCAATAGGAACTGAGGGATACTTTCCACTGTGGCTGAAATCAATGAGTAATCTGTGGCGCGTTTTTTCCCTATTTATGAAAATCATCAGTTTTTGGGCAGTACCTTCAGAAGAGGTTTGGCCGAAGGATTGCACCTGGTCCTCTATCTCTCCTAATGAGCACACGCTAGCGGATTTTTTACGCGTACAGAGCCAAGCAAAAGCCTGAATGGAAGCCTTTTAATGGGACCCCTACCAAACAGCAACACCATGTGGACAGTTGCGGGTGGATCCAGGTTGCCTCTGACGTAGGACTAGGTTCTAGGTATCACAAAACGTTAACGCAGTCGAGTGTGCGCAAACAAACAGAAAGGGATCATGGATCGCTACTGCGGCGCGATGGTGGCCGATCTACTTCGCTCCACGACCGTACACAATAAGCTGTATCGAACAAAGTAACTGTGAAGCTTTTGCTTGTCGTGAAACGCCGATAGGTGAAGGGGAGCAGCTAGGGGAAAAAGATCATGTCTTACGAGCTGATGGTAGAAAAAGTGCTTAGTGCGCGTGAAAAGCTGGAACATTCGAGGTCGCAGTCGTCATAGAACGCTAGGTAGGCGCAGACTAAAGCAGAAAATTTATGCAAAGAAGTCGTAAGCTCCTTGGTAGACCAACCAGTTTCGAGTACATCAATCCCATCCTCACGAGGGTAGTTCCAGTTTTGCAGAGACTATCCATCAGCTTTACCTCAC